CCATTTCTTTCAAAACAGACTACGGTTTGTCCCACTGCACGCAGTCAAATGTTTTTGTGTAGTCAATGAACCACAGAACAACTGGATTATTGAACTCTCGACTCTTTTCAATAATTTGTCTAATGTTAAGCAGTTGTTCCCTTGTACCTCTTCCCCCCACAAATCCCGCTTGTTCTTCAGGAATTGGTCTATCTAAAAAGTGCTTGAGACGCTGGTTTATTATGTGAAGGAGAATTTTGCTTGCATGTGACATTAATGCTATGGTACGATAATTTCCACACTCCGTTGTAGAGCCTTTTTTGTGAAGCAGGACAAACACGGACTCAGTCCATTCTTCAGGCCAATTACCCCGACTGCCATACGAGGTTGCATAGCCTGGTCATTACACCTAAGCCTCTTTCGCCCATTTTTTCGAGGAGCTCAACTGGAATTCCATCCTTTCCTGGTGTTTTCCCGTTCTTCAGAGCGTTGATGGCCTTCTGAACGTCCGATGGCAGTATACCAGGTTCGTCTGCGACCCATGGATTGTTAGCCCCGGGTTCCTCGTTGCAGTCATAAAGTTGCGCGCAGTATTTTCGCCATCGTTCCAGAACATGATCCATCTCCGTTAGCCGTCACCCATCTTCGTCCTTGACCACACATGTTTCCATCGGTTTAGATCTGGTCAACAACTTTAGCATTTGATAAAGATCCTTGGTCTCATGTTTCAAGGAGTGCTGTTCCAGGTCCTCACAAATGTTGTTGATATAAGCGTTGTAGTCCTGCCTGAATCTTCGCTGAACTTCACGGCTCAGCTGCGAATATCGCTCCCACTGCTTGGAACTGGATAGACCTCCCTTCTTTAGTTCCCGTCGCTCCTTAATGACTTTAACTGTTTCTATTGAGATATGATTTTTCATGGTAGGTCTTACAAGTACAAACCTCTTAGCTGTTTTTGTAATGGTGTCTTTCATAGTATTCCATGAGATATTGGTGTTCGAGTTGTCGATAGATGGCATTTCCGATAGTTGACGCTCGAGTTCTTTTTCATAGGCCACTGTATCCACTCTGGCCAAATTTGGAACTGCCTTTTGCTTCACGATTCTTTTCAGACGCAGTCAGATCGTTGCAACTATAAGTTGGTGGTCGCTGCCACAATCTGCTCCTGGATACGTGACCGAAGTTCTCCACCTCGAATGCATCAGAATGTAGTCTATCTGGATTCTATACCTTCCCCCCGGAGGTACCCATGTATAGAGCCGCCTTGGATGGTATTTGAAACAGGTGTTCATCACCGTGAAATACATATAAAACAAATTACTAGATATTTTAGTTACTTATTTAAGTATATTAGACTGTTATGATGATGATGATGAGACTGTTATGACATTTAGAATTGAAAAATTTGTTAGATTTTTTACATTTGCCCGATATTCCTGACCTCCAGATAGACAATCATGTCTTTCTAACGTATTCAATTTTGCTAATAAATTTCGTGATCACTTCCTGCTCTGTCAACGCGTGATAATCAGTTTAACTGTGCTACCAACTTTGCCAGAAAATTAAAGATTTGAAAGCTTCAATATTTTCCTTTGTAACCTACAATCTCATTCTGTTTTCTTACTTGCTGTTGCCTGTACAAAATACATGTCTGGACTAGAGTAACCGCTGCTTAATTCTCTTTCTGAGTTTTAAAATTAGCTTCAAATGGAGGGTGATTTTAAGATAGATAATAATTATTGTCCATATACGCGTAAAAACTAACATAGCAACAAACAACATAGAGCTGTCTTTATTTACAAGAAAGACAAGTTTTTCATCATTACCTATTTTCATTACATCTCATCTTTTAAGTGTGATAATCTTCCGGTTTTTCCCATTACTTTCTTTTTACTATCACCCATTTTTTTTAACAAATCATCATATCGTTCTTTCGTCATAAAACCACTTCTGGTTTTCTTAGCCTATCCATGTTATCAACTAATTTGAAATTAAAACGCTCACGTACAGGCTCACTGTCCGTTACTCATAGACCAGCAAGAAAGTATAATAGTTTCACGTTTCGTCTGGTGAGTGAGATAGCCGGAGTCCACTTTTAAAAGGTTATCAACGCATCTACAAACCCTCGGGTGTGATGTCTTAGGGCAGTGGTATTCACTTAACATCAGGTGAACTGCCTGCTCGTTTGGCAACATTTCATTACCGGTTATTCGAAATAATCATCAGATTAATCACATTTACCGTAACATACGTAGATGTAAGAAAGAAGAAGTATACATAAGAAAGAAGAATTGCCGCAAACGAACTTTATTCTTAACCGTCTTTAAACAGAATATATCCAAGTAAGTATAAAATTAATTACTAAATGTAATTAAAACACAAACGTATATTTGAAATCTCAGTTTTCAGGATCGCGTCGAGCGGCTAAATTGAAATGCATTTCATCTCATTCATGTTATTAAAACTTCTTTTTAACTTTGAGGCGGCATGATATATGTCTCCTAGTTTCAGTATAAAGCTTAACGTATTTAAAACTTTAATTGATATTTCTTGCAAGTTTTCATACAATTCTACAAATATGCAATTTCACTATAAAGGCGTACCAGTAACACCAGTAATTTTGTTCCTATAAAAATCATTTACCTATGGAGTCTGTATGGCTGTTTTCCACTTTAAAAACAAATCAATGGTTTCTCTACCGATATCTCAATGGTAAAACCAATTGCGTTTTCATGCATATGATTCTTTCAAAGTGACTTATGAGTAATGAAAATGGCGAACATTAATGACTGATAAATTTTATCAGTAATAGGGACTGTGAATTTTTTTTTTTTTTTTATGCGAACAGTTGTCAAACGAGCAGACGGTTCACCTGATGTTAAGTGAATACCGCCGCCCATGGACATCTGCCTTAGAGGGTTACAGATGTCCATGGGCGTTGACAACCTTTTGAAAATTGGGCTCCGGCTACCTCACTCACCAGACGAAACGCGAAAGTTTTTGTCATACTTCCACTTTACGCTGGTCTTCTGTGAGGTCGTGGTACTTACCCGGACGGGCCTGCCCATTCGTGCAACAGCCGAGGCTGCTGCGTGGCCCTACCACCCTAGATATTTGCAGTGCTTTCATCATTACATATTTACCCTGCCAATGGTGTTCTTATAATTTAATGACACACACAATACAATGTGAGGAGGAAATAGTGTCCTTTTTTGACGCTAAACTAGTGATATAGAACACAGAATTTGAAATATTTATCGTAAAATCGTCAATTTCTGGGAATTTATATGTTTTGTTATACTACTTGGCAGGACAGTTACGAATCATACAAGTGCACAAATAGGAAGTCTTAACCAAGTCTTTCTCAATATCATACACGTACCATTAAAACTAAGCTTTAAGGATAACAGTTTTCTTCAAACCTTTACAATTATTTTTTGTTTCCCTGCAAGTTTTTATAGAAGCGATGAGGACATTTGAGTATACGCTATTTATTTTAGATAATTTTGAACTTTATCCTAAATTAAGGGCTATGGTGCTTTTTTTTTTTTTTTGAAGAAAAGGTGCAAACGAGCAGGAGACTCACCTGATGGTAAGTGATTACCGCCGCCCATGAACACCTGCAACACCCGAGGGCTCACAAATGCGTTGCCGGCCTAAATGCGTTGCCGGCCTACGAATCAACTGAATTAGAGAGAAGGAAAGTGATAATGAAGAAGTAGCCTCTCTTGACAAAGAGACCTCTACTGACGTCATACTTTGATGTATGCAAGAAAGGAGTCAATATCCCATTCTTATCTTTATATATACAATTCTTCTGTACTATTTGCCGTTTAGGAGGAGTTCAGTGACATACACACTTGTCACTGAACTGCTTCTAATCGGCTGGATCGATTTTAATGAAATTGTTTGTGTGTGTCATCAAGTTATTCAAAAAAATTTGAAATATTCGAATTTAAGACGTGTGTACAGGACAAGGTCTGTCGAGTCCGCTAGTATATTATATATATTTATACCTTAATTAGGGTAGAGTCAATGCCGGCGTCGAGGAGAGTTCGGATGACTCTCTTTGACTTCACTGTCGATGTAAGAGTCACGAGAGGCTGTCCACAGGGAAGGGTCCATCTAACTTTTTCTGGTCTATCTTTGTTGATAGCTTGATTAAAGAACTTCATATGCCTGAGATATGCTAATGACTAAGTCATAACCATTGTGGCTCTGATTTATGATCTAATCAGCCCTGAAGCTATTCCAAGTCTAAATGCTCTGAGGGTGTTTGAACGGTGGTGCAAAGAAAACCATTATAACTACCGATTTTGCATATGTTTGGTGTATACCTGGACCACAAACTCTTGTAGAGTAGTCACGTTGACTAGAATTGATCAGAAAAATAAATCTGCACTTGACACTTTCTCCATGTTGATTGGATCAAATTGAGGTCTCAAGCCCTTACACGCACTGTGGATAAACAGCGTCATAATAAGACCCATATTAACGTACGGTTGTGTGGTGTACTATAGAAAGACCCCCACCGCCACTAAATAGCGTGCCAAGACTATCTTGCCTAATTATCATAGGAGCTATCTCATCCACACCAAATATGGCCAAGGTGAATAGCACTCTAAAGTTATGAGAAGGTTAGCAAATAAATCTAAAACCACATCATGGCAATGTCACCAAATATCATGATGGCGGAACAGAAAATTGAGGAACTATACAACGTTCTCATACCTCCGACAAAGAGAAATGGCAAAACAAAGTACCGGAGAACAAAGCTAGTTTGGTTCACTGACGGCTCTACAAGGGGTGGTCTTGATGGCTCGAAATGTATTCAATCATTGACTGTTTGCATCTGAACCGAGAGACTGGGAGGATATGTATAATATATATAGTCGGATAGCCAGGCTGCCTTGAAGGTCCTGGAGACAAGCGAAATTTCCTCCGAACTAACCTTGGAGAGTGTTGTTGCCCTGAGTAATCTTGGCGAGAGCCCTTAGTGATTGGAGGCAATAAAGAAGTGAATGAGTTGGCAGCGGAAGGATCGAGTTCCCGGCTTATCGGAACCAAGCCCATGGCTCCAGTCGCCAGCTCACGGCATTGGAAAGACATCATGCCAACCTGCTTGCTGCCTACTGCAACGAGGATTGGGTCTCCTGACTGATTCCAAACAGCTGATCCAGGGTTTCTCACTCAACTTTGCAACCGAGGTACCGAGACTATCGGAGAGACCATTCTGTAGATTCTGCGGTGATGATGATTCGGGAACAGGAAGAGCCCAATCGAGGAAACACAGATTCTTAGGCTGACATCGATTATCAACTTCGTTACGGTTGTTGGTTTGTAGCATGCTATCTAGCTTCAAAGGAAAGACTTCATTTGATCTTCTAGGTCTCAGTTGTCGTCGTGACCTGTTCCACAGAAATCGTTAGCAAACTTTTATTACTGGTTATTTTAATTACTCACTTTAAAATTATTAATATAAAATTAGGTATATCGACTTCACTTTTTTAAAAAATATAAAGATACATAAACAAAAATTTAGACATGAAAAGAAACATTAAAAAAATAAAAAAACATCCGGGACATTTCTTTTTCAATTTTCTAATTATCCATAACACAAAGTGAGACAAGGTTTGGTGAAGTCTTTATCTTTCAATTATAAAAAACTTCAAATTCTTGTACCGAAAAAATAAGGTAATTATATTAATTATTATATCGTTGCCTGTTTTTTGTATTTATATAAACCATAGTTCCTGAATATTTCATTAAAAAGTTTCTTTGAAAAACTCACTGTTATAATAATCTTCAGTTATTAAGAGTAACGTAAGTTTTTTATATCTCTTGTATTCAACCTAAAAACCCCGGAAAGACGCAATATTAGGTTAATGGTGCAACTGCATTACCGAATTTTTAGGACGAGCAAGGAATGGAGAACGCATTGTTCCATCTGTGTTTGTAGATCGTGTTTTGATAACATTAAATGATTAATAAAATGTATTCATTTTTTTTATTTTACTGTCAGTTGTTAAGCACACAAAAAATGTGTCAAAAACGGCTCATTGAATAATTGTTAAATTAAAATAAACGGAATTCGATTACCTGAGATGAATTAAAACATGGGTACAAACATAAAGTAGGTTTAATAAGCATTGCAAAAGTGAGCAAAAAATCAACTGCTTTCAACCTTCACAATTTGTATTCGCGACTGCATAGCTACATTTTACTATATAATTCTGTTAATAGAATATCTGTACTATTGAATGACATAGATTTCATCTCTAGAGATTCTGGACCAAGACCTTACAATTTTCTTCCTTTCCATAGAATTTTCGGTCATGTTCTTTCACATGGACAAACACCCAAAACTGAAATAATTTTCTGGGATTCACACAAATAGTTGTCTTCTGTTGAATTCGAATCCATGAGCCTCAGCACCGAATCCAATATCTTGGCAACGGTGCCACGGAGTCACTTAAAAGCATGACATAGGTATACCATTGCAAATTTTCTAGCACCACGCTCGCAGAAAAGTGACGATGCATGCAGTCCCTCAAGCTACGGGTATAACCGTTACTTTTCAAGAATTTAAAACGTTTGCAACATATGCTGTAAAATAATACACATACGTACAATACATGCATGCACTTTGATACACATTTCATGCATATAGGCGGTGATGTCATTTACGTAGTGCCTTCATTAATCGCACGGCTGCTAAAATTGCCTTAATTGCTCAAGTTAAAAGGAGCGGTTATAGGCACATGAACTAGAAGCCCGCTCGTTAATATCGATAAGTGCTCCGCTGCATGCAAAGTAACAATGATAATTAACATAGTCTTATGAAATATAGTACACGCAATAAAGTAAATTGAAGGGAGAGTTATAGGTTAATGACGAGAAGAACAACTTATTCCCTAATATGTATAATTGTTTATAATTTTTATTATTAACAACTTATGTCTTATTCTCACATGACATAAGTTGTTAATAATAATAATTAAGTATTTATTATAAATAAAAACCAAATAAAGAGCAATGAAAAAGCAAAACACAAGTTAGAAATTAATATTGTCCACTTATCAAAGGTTACACTATCATCGAACTTGCAATTGATATGTTAGGATAAACAAATTTTCATTAAAATGGAAACAGTTTCAAAGAATTAATGTTTAAATAGCACCTTCTTCTATCGAACTAAGTAGGTAAACAATAAACACTTATCAAATCACCGTAATTTTACTTTGTACAAAAATTACACTGGTACTAATAATAATTAAGTAATACTAATTACTTAATCTCACTTTTAGACTTAGAAATTACAACTCCAACAATTTAATTTGTGATACCGATTGGAAGGCACTAAAGCATATACTTCTTCTTGACAGCCAAAAAAAACATGAAATGCTCGGTGCTGCTTGACATCGTCTCAATCATTTCTTTCTTCTTCCTCGGTCCCTCAATGCTGAGGATTGTGCCACATGATATTCTCCTCTACTGCGTGCGTTCGTAGGCGGTGTGAATCGCGTGTTACATGCTGCCGCCCACCGCGTTCTTCACTATGACAGCCCATCTCGCCCAGCCTTGAGTACGTTTGCTGTTCATCTGACCTATAATGATCTACTTCTCGATACTGTGCCGTGATGATAGTATAATGTGTCCAAAAAAGCAGAGCGCCCGTTCACGGTAAATCGAAGAAAGCCGCTTCATGATGTTGAGGTCTTTAATTATTGAGTCGTTAGTTCTCCTAGGAATACGGATCATCATACGCCAACACCACATTTCGAAAGCATCGATTTTACAGCTACGCAGCGGTGAAAAATACGAGGCTGCCACTCGAGAACATTTGTTCTCCATATTGTAGGGTTCCATATTCCATAACATTTTATGCAAAATGAAGATCAAAATTCAGACCCTGTTCAAGAACGTTTTAACGAAAAGAAGATCGAAATTCGGCCTGCAAAAGAGGACCATAGCATGCTAGCCGGGCAGGTCATCGGAGGGACTCGAAGACGAAGGATAATGAAGAAGACATTGTTCTACATATTGAAAAAGTGTAGAGAAAAATTAATTCAGTAACAGAGGCAGTAAAGGGATTTCAAATATATAAAATAGATATATAAAATACTCGATTGCTGAAAGTCAAATACCTCGGTCCCTCCGAAACAATTATTTACCCACGGTAACTACGACACTAACTGGGTGGAATGGTGTGAATACAATAGTACAGCAATACAATGTGATTGACTGTACTTAGTTCAGTTTGTCTTTCTGCTTCTTTGGACAAAGTCCCTAGCCACATTATAGAAAACAGGCTTCCAATACAGTCTTCCACTAGTCTTAATATCACTCAAAAAATACGTGACATAAATCTGCAAGCAATTCCTTTTCATACCATTTTATCAAAACTAACACAGAATGCTATCTTTCTTTGAACGTTGCATGCAATTCGGTAACGTATCCCGACTTAAACTTTTTTTCTTTTATATTTTAAAGAACATTGCCCTTACTTTAGGATAACATTATCCTGTGTTGTAAGGACGTTTTACGAACATAAATTTCACATGGACAAACACCCAGATGCGAAACAACTATCTGTGGGTCACACAAATAGTTGTCCCGCGTAAGAATCGAACCCACGGCCACCCGACGCCGAAGCCTTGGCAAATGCGCCACGGAGTCATCAAACAATTCTATAAATTTGACATACGCTGATATAAGAGATCCATTTAACAATATGATGTATATATTTATCATAGTTTATATTAATAATATCAAATAATCATAGTGTTATGTAATAAACATCAAACCGCACTAGTTATTTAGTTTGCAGACAATAAACAAATTATTGATATTTTATACTTACGTGATATCAATTATTTATTAATCAATGATAATATAGTTATCGTAATGCAACAAAACCATAATAATATAGTAATGATACTATGACTGATCTATCTTTTCAGAATAACCTGGAACTAGTGTTAAAACAACCATAGACAAATTATAATGAAATAATAACACCACTACATTATAGACTGAAAAAGGCTTTTTTTCTTTCTTTCATCATCGTAGATGGATGTAAGTGAAATAAATGTAATAAAGAGTTTCTTTCTAAAGTTAAACTGGTCATTCATTTAATATAAGGTTTCTTTTGTTTTAGGCTTCTGTTAGCATGAACAATTTTAAAAGGGATATAACTGAACTATAATGAAAGTTTATAATTTTTTTTACAATAAGTCAATAAATACTAGAACATGGGAACGATGAGTGTTCCGTGTATTAGTTTGTACCACTCATTCTACTTGTATGTGTATTTAATTGAAAAACATTTTTGAACTATGTATTTCGGTCTTTTTACAGTTATGCTGTAACAATTTCTACTAAGACAATTATCTTTGCAACTTCAAAGCACATAGCAATTATCGAGTGGGACATCTACGGTCTTTTAGAATATGTTTGGCTAGTTCGTAATATTGGTTTAATCGAGAGTGACAGGACTGAAAATTGGACTTCGTTGAAGGAGATGGAGTCCTTTGCAACGTCAGTAACTTAATTTACATGAACAGTACACAAAACTAATCAGCGGGAAGCATAGAGATGATGATGTACAAATAACACCTAAGTTAAAAATTGTTACTTTAACAGAAAGAAAAAAGTCCCATTATTCTCTGTAAGAACATAAAGTGGTTTGGGCTGACGAACAATATAATGATTGGAATATGAATATGATATCTTATCTATCTTCTTAAGTTATAAATATTAATCAATGACTGTAAAATGAGCATAATGCAACTAAAATATAAAAGTACTAACATTTACCTGCGGCTTCGCTCGCGTTATTGAAATATCTTTTGTTTTGAATATATTTTTATAATAAAAAGACCGTATGTATTTTTAATACCTCTAACTCTAAAAGGTGAGATTGAATAACAGAAATAAAAAAGTTGGAAAAAAATACTTTATCTTATTTCATACAAAACGGTAATTTCATAGGTAAAAACCTAATATGAATTACATACTTTTACTTTCAAACTACTAAAATAAACTATTATATATAAAGATCATTTTGGACTTATTTTGGTTTGTTGGAAAAAATCTTTGACATACCTAAATTTATCCAAAAACGTTATTGAAATATATTTCTAATTTCTTGAATTTATAATTTGATTACTAAGCAAAATACCATGATAAGGAAACGAAGATTTTTCGAAGAATTTCTATCAGACTAAAGCCAAATGGCCTTGGATGGTGAACATCCAGCCAAAGATGAATGTCAGCAAATAAGACCGGCGAAAATTTTCCA